TGGGGATATTACAGAGTCATAGGGGAGCTTCTGTTTATTATTAGTCCTCACAATACACTACTTGTTTCTGAATCTCATATGTCGTTCATCTACTGGAAGCAAAATGTGGGTACAGTGCAAGGATTTCAGGTAATTTATCCATGGTAATAAGATAGGTTGCCATATCATACAGAGTGAGCTTAGATTTATCTCTAAAAGGCTCAATTTTACAACAATCGAAGATATAGTGTTCGAGTGTGTGTCCCTGCCTATGTCCACACACTTTACTTCATCTAGATCCCTATACAAGCCGAACTGCCAGAGATACTTGTAGCCAAGTCTTATACGAGCTGTGACAACATCTGTTAGTCTACTGACTTTGTTACTTGCCCCATACACATGTTTTACTTCATACATTTCATTGTGATGAACAATGGACTTGCTAGTTCCAGTTTGCACTGTTCTACTTTCTTCAAATCCATCTAGGAGTTCTCGTCTAATGACACTTTTAAGGGACCTATTTGATAACTCAAGATTCCATTCAATACTGTCTTTATTTACTGCAGCCTTAGCAAGGGCGTCAACTTTGTCATGTTCCTGCACCCGGGATCTGGTTTGTACTGCTACTACTGGCCTTACCACATCTTCTACAGGACTTGCAACAATAATAAGATGGTTACTGTTCAATTCCAAAGCTAAGTCATTGGCCAGTATTACCTCTATCCCTTCTGTAGGAAGATGGTCAACTACTGCCAATGTACATTTCCCATTGATATATGGTGATTGCAAATGAACCTAAAATGACACTTTGCTTTCCTTCAGTAGGCACTCCCTTGGGTAACGAGCTCTTCAAACCCAGAGATTTGGCTGCTCTAATAGCTCTGAGAATTACTACTGACTTACCACACTGGTCACTCGATACATACCCTTTCTAAGTGCAGGTCAAACAATCCTGGTTTCTCCCTTCTATGTATCCATGGGAAACGGGTGTGCACTGGTGGTGTCACATAACTCACCATCATAACCTCTCTATGAGGGTCATTACCGGCCCTGCTCTGACACTTAGCATACATGTGTCCTTTCTTCCCGCATGTCCAACACACTATGTCTCTCCTTGGACTTGTTCGTCTTGGACTACTTGGGGTTTTGTTCACGGCACTATGGGAGATGGTTCTCCCCTCCTGCTTATACTTAGTAAAAGGCTTTGAGTAGGACTTTGAAACATATCTTGAAGAGGATCTATGGGTTAAAATGTATTCTTCAGCCGTGGTGGCCGCAGCATCCAATGTCTCTACTTGCGTTCCTCCAAGTACGTTTTCAGATCACCTGATAGACGCTCCTTGATATCTTTTAAGAGGATAAGTTGTTCCAGCTGCTCCTTAGTTTCCACCTTCCGAGACGCGCACCATCCGTAAAACTTCCGCTTCTTAATGCAAGTGAACTCCTGAAAAGTGTGCTCTGCTGTTTTCTTAAGGTTACAAAACGTCTGCCTATATGCTTCAGGCACCAACTGGTAAGCCATCAGCACCACCTTCTTGACAGCGTCTTCAGTCACTTACTAACAGTGTGGAGTACGTTGTTTGGGCCTTCCCAGTCAGCAATGATTGAATCATAAGAGCTCTATTGACCCTCGGCCAGTCCAATGAGGCAGCAACTTTCTCGAAGGGCAGCAAAGAACTTTGGCACCTCGTTCTTATTGAATTTAGGCACCATTTTTCTATTCTGCACTTGGTCGAAACCACTTTATTCCCTTCTACCACCTTATCTTAGCATTTCCAGTTCGTGTTGACTTTCTTTCTCCTCCCTTTCTTTCTGGTCTTGTCTCTCTCTCCCTTTCTTGTCTTTCTCTCTACGTCTTGTCTTTATCTCCCCCTTTCTTCTCTTTCTCTCTCATTTTCTAGTTCAAATTTGTTCAACTCTATTTCACGTTTCATTTCAATTTTCTTCTCTTCCCTTTCTCTCCTTTATTTTATCACTTTCTCTCTTTCTTCCCTTTCTCTCTCTTCCTTTTCCTTTTCTAATTCTAACTTTTTTCTTGCGATTTCACAATTTATTTCTAATTCCCGCATTTTCACTGTCAATAGGCTCACATTTAGTTCACCTGGATCACTCTCACCATCACTGTCCTGGTCCTCCTTGTCAGTGGAATCCAGGACACTCGCTACTTTGCTACGGACTAAACATTCCTGTTTGCCGCCTGGTTTCAAATACCTATACACTTTGGATAGGATTTCGACACGTGAAACATTTTCTTTCACTTTTAATTCTAGGTAGGTGCTTACCAACACTAGCTCTGGTTTCTCTAAAAGCTTCAATTTGGAGCGGCAGCTCTCCCATTTTAAGAACTGAACATCGTCCAGCATATCAATTGTAATTTTCTCCGCCATTGCTCACTCTCTTAACACAAAAAGGGAATCTGTACAAAAGGTGTTGCATTAGTCACTTGTCCGGTCCCGTCAAACTTATCTGACAAGAAGTCGGATCCCGCTGGGGATGCCAGTTATGTTATGGCGTCACTTTGCCAGTAACTGGATTCTTTTCACATCAAACTTTATATGGGGCCATAGTGTCACTTCTTACTCAATCCAACCCCGAATCATAGGTAAGATATTTAGAACTGGCAGTAATAATTAATCTAAAGGAAAAGGGGGTAAACAACACAAAGCAGAACCATCACCAAGTGTACTTCTTAAATATATATGCACATATGTATATCACATAACACAGCAGGTTTCACTTTCACACAGGACACTATACAAGAACTTCTGCAATTTTATTTCCTGGCGGGTCCACTTGTATCTTCTATTGTACACCACTCAAGGTTACCTCCCTGAGTCTTTTATGGTCCTCACACTGGCAAGTTTACCTTTCTCAGTAAATCATCGGCCAGTCCTCTACAGTATCGTCACGATGCCAAAACACAACTTCACTTTCAGCAACACGTTTGCAGAGGTCTCCAGCAACATGCTGACAGGGGTCACTAGCAACACACTGGCAGGGGTCTCCAGCAACGCATTGTCAGGGGCCTCTAGCAACACACTGGCAGGAGTCTCCAGCAACACACTGGCAGGAGTCTCCAGCAACACACTGAAGGGGTCTCCAGCAACACACTGGCAGAGGGTCTCCAGCAACATGCTGGCAGGCTTCCATACAGGCTTCACTTATAACAAGCCTTAACAGATGGACATTAATTCCATCTCGCAACTCAACTTGGCCATCCTGGGATACGTCGATCCAATCACCAATACTTCACTAAGTATCACAGAAAAATCACAGTCTACACCGACTTGGGTGCTTATTCCCATTGAAACATGTCTTGAATTCAGGATAGCCCTGGGTGAACTGATTCCTGTCAACCAAGGGAATTACCCACATCACTTCTGAAGACTAAAATATGAATAGTAAAAAGGAAACTATACAGGTGTCACCTGAAGAGTAAAATATGAATAGTAAAAAGGAAACTATAAAGGTGTCACCTGAAGATTAAAATATAAATAGTAAAAAGAAAACTATACAGGTGTCACTAGACCACAGCCATCCACTGGGGAACAGAAAATGAGGGTGGGTATGCTCAACAGATGGCATCGACATCATCACAATTAATTGTTGATTAATTGCAATGATTTTTTTATTTGATTTTAATCAGGATCCGGTTCGAAGGACCATAAAATGTGGGGAAATCAATCAGCGAATAATTTCTTTATATTTATTTAGACTGTAAATTTATTAATTATTATTTATTAAGTGGACTATATATTATATTATTTATCTTCACTGACAAACTTCCACATCACACAATTTTAGGGTTTATAATTTCAACTACACGAAAATTAATTCACGAGTTGTTAGTGTAAATTAGATTAATTATTATCATATTACTGAAATCTACCAATTATTATGATTATTATTTAAAACATTTCACAGCTTAGCTGTCTTAATAGTAGAAGTTCTGTGTGGCCAAGTGATTCATGGTATTGTTTAATGTGCAGGATTAGACAAGAATCAGTCACATTGTATCGCTTCTCTAGGCGGCATTCCATATTAGTAACTTCCATGCCTCAATATACCTGCCAATGAAATACACCATTAAATCAACAATAGTGTATTCAATTTATATGAATTGATTAAATAATATGACATGAAATATGATATTAAATTTGCTCACCCATGGTTGTTATTAATTATACATTATAACTGCTACAGTATGTAAATAAATGATAGACCTCTAACACTACAAATACTGAACGGGTACAATGCCTTCTCATTAAACGATAGTGTCAATTTGAGCTGCACAATTCCACGAGAATAACTTGTAGATCACAAATACTGGGGGGTGACAGTCGACACATTACAGCGTTCCGGTTTCAATATGGCTTCTCTCTTCCTCTCTCCCTCCCGCATTGGGCATCTTCCCCAGATATGGTACAAAATTGGATGGAGTAGTTATATTTAATTAATTTAAGTACTGATAATTAAGTTCATTCCTGGGAAAAGCCTTTATGACTATTACAGTTCACAGACTGTTAGTAATAGGTGTCGGAATTTTCGACAGAGGGGAGAATGGTGCCTTACTATCCATGGATTGCGAAAACCTGCAGCCGTTGGTATTTGCATAGTTGTTGATAGCCTTGCCTGGTGGATTGGTGTTCTCACCTCCCTGCACATTCTTGTTTTGGGCGATAATCACGCCTGCTTGTTCGTAGGTAAAACAGCTTGGACCCGGAACTAGTCTGGCAGCTTAGATGTAGAAAAGAGGGTGACTAGTTTGGGGTGATGTAAATTGGTTTCGGCTAGTCTCTGTTTGCAATGACATATTTGGTCGCCATGTACTTAGTTTCTGTCCCATGAAAAATGATGTCATCTAAGAGTCGCTGAATACTTTACAATCAGCTAAAATTGTGAATCGGCGTCGGACTGACTCTTAGGAGTCGTCCTAATGTGTTGCACAGGCGGTGATGGTAAAGTTGCACATCTATTTAGAGCATGTTGCACATGTGTTGACGGTATTGTGTATCCAACAGAGGGAGAAGCTACGGGTGCAGTTCAAACGGATGCGTCACACAACAAGCAGAGCCATGGACAAGACTGAGGTGAGTATATTCTGATCCGCCTCACATCCTCAAGAATAACCTTGAAGGTCTTATTTTGTTGTTGTTGTTATTCATACAGTTTTAGTTTAGTTCATTTATTATGCACCCCATACCCATCTTGTGGGCGGTAGTGGAAAGGGTTACAGAGGCACATAATGGGCTCAGGGACTGAACCCCACAATTCATTTAGCTAAGCAAGTTACAATCTTGATGAGCTAGTTACAAAATTCAATATAAGTCATCACATCAACAATGGGTTCGAGATCGACCTCAAGTACAGGTTCTACATACAAGAGTTCTTACATTCTTGAACAGCCACTAGCATGCATAGCATTTTGGGCAAGGCCTTAATCCTAATTTTCACACACACACATTCCCAGGAAGCAGCCCACACCAGCTAACTAACACCCAGGTACCTATTTACTGCTAGGTAACACCCTTATGCCCATAAGGGTGAAAGAAACACTGCCCATTTGTTTCCACCTTCTGCCGGGGATCAAACCCGGACCCTTAGGACTGTGAACCACGAGCGCTGTCCACTCAGCCATTAGGGCTCTATATGAAAGCCATTTAAACATTCGTGGAAATAAAACATTCCATAGTTTGTTACGTCCCAGTTTCAGGAACTGATCGCTAAACATTAAATAAATTTATATATAGTAATTATTCATCAATTATATTTCCACAAAACGAAATTGCAATAAAAGCTACTGCAGTGTTGATTCGACTTAAATAAAAATGTGAAAATGACCCTTGGAGAGTTAATTTTTCAATTACTTTCGACAGTGAAGAAATACGTAAGAAATATTGAGAAGATTCATGTTAGAATCATTAATCTTACCCTTTCGGTCATATTCAACATATATTGCTTCACAGATAATAATAATAATAATAATAATAAACACATAGCTTAAATGATATTCTAGCTCACCTAGATCAAGATGTAATGGAAGGGAAATTATTTACCTTAATTCTCTCTGCTATAGAGTCGACATGTCCTCTGGTTATCTTGAGATAGTTATCTTGAGATGATTTAAGGGCTTTAGTGTCCCCGCGGCCCGGTCCTCGACCAGGCCTCCACCCCCAGGAAGCAGCCCGTGACAGCTGATCTATTTTACTGCTAGGTAACAGGGGCATAGGGTGAAAGAAACTCTGCCCATTGTTTCTCGCCGGCGCCTGGGATCGAACCCAGGACCACAGGATCACAAGTCCAGCGTGCTATCCGCTCGGCCGACCGACTCACTGGTGATTATAGTTAAGATCCTCTGTGCCCGTGGTTGGCCCTCCGTTGATCAAGGTCCGGTACACACAAGGTCCTTAGATGACTTGTTGTTGCGTGTCCTCGCCTTGCTCATTCCCGAAAGGCAGGTCCTTCTCCTTAGCACTGATGGCAGGTCCCTGCGCAGGTCGTCTCCCTTCTCACACACTATAACTGTAGACAACCTTGCAGTCTGGTTCAGTGTCCCGTTCTCATCCTTCCAGTGGACTTGACCCGGTCGTAGCAGCTTGCTTGACGTGTCAGAACGTGGCCCGCAGGGCGCCACACATGACCCTCCCAGCGCCGCCATTCACCTCCGTCGTAGACTAACAGCAAAACAGTCTCCGTGGTGTAGTGGTAAGACACTCGCCTGGCGTTCCGCGAGCGCTTTGTCATGGGTTCGTATCCTGGCCGGGGAGGATTTACTGGGCGCAATTCCTTAACTGTAGCCTCTGTTTAACGCAACAGTAAAATGTGTACTTGGATGAAAAAACGATTCTTCGCGGCAGGGGATCGTATTCCAGGGACCTGCCCGAAACGCTACGCGTACTAGTGGCTCTACAAGAATGTAACAACTCTTGTATATATCTTCAAAAAAAAAAAAAAAAAAAAAGAGCTCTGCGTGCACTGACACCAACTAGGCCCTGCTTGCACATACTCCCCAGGAGTCAACTAGTCTTCCTCGACGTCTTTAGTACTATTGCGGCTGCTTAGGTCCACTGGCTGAGGCTTCCTGGCCTCCAAATCGAGAGCTCACTTGCGTGTGTCCGTGCTCAATGACAGGCGGTGACATTCTGAGCTCCGCAAGGCTAAGGGCCGCCCGGCACCCACCGCCCTGTGATGTCACACCCCCTAGGGGCGCCACGCCATTGGTCACTTCTGTCACGTGACCTTACCTGTCCAATCACCAGACGGCAGGCGCCCTGGTCCCTTTGGCGGGAACCTCCTCGTCTCGGTGCCATTTTGCAACACAAAAGGGAGTAAGCCACTTGTAGAGCCAATACTAAAACAGTCAATTCATCTCCCATACGATAACTCTGAATACCTTTAAATATACCAAAATGCTCCCTGTGCATCAGAGAACGTGCAGGTTGCGGAGATATGACTCTTTACGCCAGAATAGGAAAGATGTAGGACGATCGAGTCACCGTCACAATATGCAAATGAAAACTCCTCACCCCTGAAGGAATCGAACTCAGACAACCAAGGTTTCATGCACCTTAGCTGGTACAGTACTATACGCTATACATGTCTAGTACTATACTAGAAACACATGCTGACCTCCTGACACATACTGACGCCGTGTTATCCATCACGGATATCCATCATATTGACACCATCAGACACCAATATGTAGCCATCAATGATATAACTTCACCCACTCTACGATTAACCGTAGGAGTGCCACAGGGCAGCATCCTTGAACCTCTCCTATTTTTTTATATACATCAATGATCTGCCTAATGTCTCTAACATCCTTAAACCTATACTATTTGCTGATGATACTACCCTCATCTACTCTGACCCCAACCCACACACTCTAAATAATGTTGTAAATAACGAATAAAAAAAATTCACATATGGATGTCAACCAACAAACTCTCCCTAAACATAAAAAAGACCTACTACATCTTATTTGGAAACAAATTAACAAATGCAATTCAGCTTCAGATAGACAATGTTAATATCAGCAAAAAAGATAGAAATTTCCTTGACCTATACTTAGACAAGAGACTAAACTTCACCACCCACATACAACACAACCAAAAAGTCTCAAAACGGTTGGTATACTCTCTAAAATCAGACATTATATGTACCAAACTCTGCTCTCCTCTCATTATACTACGCTCTAATCTATTACTATCTTACATATGGTATCTGTGCATGGAGTTCAATCACTGCAAACTACCTCAAGCTCATCATCACCCAGCAAAAATCTGCTATCTGGTAAAAAAACTGCTAAAAGAACAATAACAAACTATGTTTTCAGACAACACTCAGCCTCCCCTTGTTTAAATCCCTAAACATGCTAAACAAAAACTCACTCCACACATTCTCTTGTGCCATTTACATGTACAAAACCCTGTCTATAGATGCAAATCCTGATTTGAAACTTTTCCTGGTCAGATGTAATAGAACCCATGATCACCACATCAGAAATAAATACTGTATTTCTTTGATATTCCCAGAGTCAAACTCAATCAGTGTAAACATTCTATGCAAATAAAGGGACCTAGTCTATGGAACTCACTCACTAATGAATTACAAAGCTGTCCAACCTATGCCTTATGAAAAAGTAAAACAAAAAAGTACCTTAATTCATCCTCATAGTTTCCTACCTATTTGTTCAAACTCACACTGTATCTTGTGCCAAAGCTCCCCCAATATATGTACCTAAGACAGACAACTTCACCATTGTAATCACTGCTATCAACTTATATCATGTAACTTAAGTTATATTGAACGCAAATTTTACTACAATGTACCAGTTTCTTCACATTTTCTAACAATGTACCTAATAATATTCTTCAATTTTTTCTATAAATTACCTACTTAAAATTATCTGTTAGATTAAGGACCTGCCCTAAACGCTATGCGTGCTAGTGGCTTTACAAGAATGTGAAAACATCAGTGTTCTGTACTCTCATCAACCCTATGTACCTTCTTGCATATAAAAAAGTAAATAAATCAATCAATCAGATGCTGGACCTGTTGGAGTTGCTGGAGGAGGATCCGGGATTCAACATGGCAGGCTTCTTCACCCTCAGCCGCGCCAGGATAGTTGATGTGGGTACTCACTCACCGGTCACTATCCTCTCACCTGTCACAACCCACTCAACTGTCACAACCCTCTCACCTGTCACAACCCTCTCACCTCTCACGACCCACTCACCTGTCACAACCCTCTCACCTGTCACAACCCACTCACCTGTCACAACCCTCTCACCTGTCACAACCCTCTCACCTGTCACAACCTTCTCACCTGTCACAACCCTCTCACCTGTCACAACCCACTCACCTGTCACAACTCTCACCTGTCACAACTCTCACCTGTCACAACTCTCACCTGTCAGAACCCTCTCACCTGTCACGACCCACTCACCTGTCACAACCCACTCACCTGCCACAACCCTCTCACCTGTCACAACTCTCACCTGTCACAACCCTCTCACCTGTCACAACCTTCTCACCTGTCACAACCCACTCACCTGTCACAACCCTCTCACCTGTCACAACTCTCACCTGTCACAACTCTCACCTGTCACAACCCACTCACCTGTCACAACCCACTCACCTGTCACAACCCTCTCACCTGTCACAACCCTCTCACCTGTCACAACCCTCTCACCTGTCACAACCCTCTCACCTGTCACAACCCATGCACTCACCTGTCACAACCCTCTCACCTGTCACAACCCTCTCACCTGTCACAACCCTCTCACCTGTCACAACCCACTCACCTGTCACAACCCTCTCACCTGTCACAACCCTCTCACCTGTCACAACCCACTCACCTGTCACAACCCTCTCACCTGTCACAACTCTCACCTGTCACAACCCTCTCACCTGTCACAACCCTCTCACCTGTCACAACCCACTCACCTGTCACAACCCACTCACCTGTCACAACCCTCTCACCTGTCACAACCCTCTCACCTCTCACCTGTCACAACCTGTCACAACTCTCACCTGTCACAACCCTCTCACTGTCACAACCCTCTCACCTGTCACAACCCTCTCACCTGTCACAACCCACTCACCTGTCACAACCCTCTCACCTGTCACAACTCTCACCTGTCACAACCCTCTCACCTGTCACAACCCTCTCACCTGTCACAACCCACTCACCTGTCACAACCCACTCACCTGTCACAACCCACTCACCTGTCACAACCCACTCACCTGTCACAACCCTCTCACCTGTCACAACCCTCTCACCTGTCACAACCCACTCACCTGTCACAACCCACTCACCTGTCACAACCCACTCACCTGTCACAACTCTCACCTGTTACAACCCACTCACCTGTCACAACCCTCTCACCTGTCACAACCCACTCACCTCTCACCTGTCACAACCCACTCACCTGTCACAACCCACTCACCTGTCACAACCCTCTCACCTGTCACAACTGTCCAACCCACTCACCTGTCACAACTCACCTCACAGCCCACTCACCTGTCACAACCCTCTCACCTGTCACAACCCACTCACCTGTCACAACCCACTCACCTGTCACAACCCTCTCACCTGTCACACAACCTCTCACCTGTCACAACCCTCTCACCTGTCACCTGTCACAACCCTCTCACCTGTCACAACCCTCTCACCTGTCACAACCTTCTCACCTCTCACCTGTCACAACCCTCTCACCTGTCACAACCCTCTCACCTGTCACAACCTCTCACCTGTCACAACCCTCTCACCTGTCACAAACCCACAACCTTCTCACCTGTCACAACCCTCTCACCTGTCACAACCCTCTCACCTGTCACAACCCTCTCACCTGTCACAACCCTCTCACCTGTCACAACCCACTCACCTGTCACAACCTTCTCACCTGTCACAACCCTCTCACCTGTCACAACCCTCTCACCTGTCACAACCACTCTCACCTGTCACAACTCCCTCTCACCTGTCACAACCCTCTCACCTGTCACAACCCTCTCACCTGTCACAACCCACTCACCTGTCACAACCCACTCACCTGTCACAACCCACTCACCTGTCTCACCTGTCACAACCCACTCACCTGTCACAACCCACTCACCTGTCACAACCCACTCACCTGTCACACTCACCCACAACCCTCTCACCTGTCACAACCCACTCACCTGTCACAACCCACTCACCTCACCTGTCACAACCCACTCACCTGTCACACTCACCTGTCACAACCCACTCACCTGTCACAACCCACTCACCTGTCACAACCCTCTCACCTGTCACAACCCACTCACCTGTCACAACCCACTCACCCCACTCACCTGTCACAACCCACTCACCTGTCACAACCCACTCACCTGTCACAACCCTCTCACCTGTCACAACCCTCACCTCACCTGTCACAACCCACTCACCTGTCACAACCCTCTCACCTGTCACAACCCTCTCACCTGTCACAAACCCTCTCACCTGTCACAACCCTCTCACCTGTCACAACCCACTCACCTGTCACAACCCACTCACCTGTCACAACCCTCTCACCTGTCACAACCCACTCACCTGTCACAAACCCACTCACCTGTCACAACCCACTCACCTGTCACAACCCTCTCACCTGTCACAACCCACTCACCTGTCACAACCCACTCACCTGTCACAACCCTCTCACCTGTCACACTCACCTGTCACAACCCTCTCCCTGTCACAACCCACTCACCTGTCACAACCCTCTCACCTGTCACAACCCTCTCACCTGTCACAAACCCTCTCACCTGTCACAACCCTCTCACCTGTCACAACCCTCTCACCTGTCACAACCCACTCACCTGTCACAACCCACTCACCTGTCACAACCCCACTCACCTGTCACAACCCTCTCACCTGTCACAACCCTCTCACCTGTCACAACCCACTCACCTGTCACAACCCACTCACCTGTCACAACCCTCTCACCTGTCTCACCTGTCACAACCCTCTCACCTGTCACAACCCTCTCACCTGTCACAACCCTCTCACCTGTCACAACCCTCTCACCTGTCACACCTTCTCACCTGTCACAACCCTCTCACCTGTCACAACCCTCTCACCTGTCACAACCCTCTCACCTGTCACAACCCTCTCACCTGTCACAACCCTCTCACCTGTCACAACCCTCTCACCTGTCACAAACCTGTCCAACCCTCTCACCTGTCACAACACCTGTCTCACCTGTCACACCCTCTCACAACCCTCTCACCTGTCACAACCCTCTCACCTGTCACACCCTCTCACCCCTCACCTCTCACCTGTCACAACCCACTCACCTGTCACAACCCTCTCACCTCTCACGACCCACTCACCTGTCACAACCCACTCACCTGTCACAACCCTCTCACCTCTCACGACCCACTCACCTGTCACAACCCACTCACCTGTCACAACCCTCTCACCTGTCACAACCCACTCACCTGTCACAACCCCACTCACCTGTCACAACCCACTCACCTGTCACAACCCACTCACCTGTCACAACCCTCTCACCTGTCACAACCCACTCACCTGTCACAACCCACTCACCTGTCACAACCCTCTCAACCCACTCACCTGTCACAACCCTCTCACCTGTCACAACCCTCTCACCTGTCACAACCCTCTCACCTGTCACAACCCTCTCACCTGTCACAACCCTCTCACCTGTCACAACCCTCTCACCTGTCACAACCCACTCACCTGTCACAACCCTCTCACCTGTCACAACCCTCTCACCTGTCACAACCCACTCACCTGTCACAACCCTCTCACCTGTCACAACCCTCTCACCTCTCACAACCCTCTCACCTGTCACAACCCTCTCACCTGTCACAACCCTCTCACCTGTCACAAACCTCTCACCTGTCACAACCCTCTCACCTGTCACAACCCACTCTCACCTGTCACAACCCTCTCACCTGTCACAACCCTCTCACCTGTCACAACCCTCTCACCTGTCACAACCCACTCACCTGTCACAACCCTCTCACCTGTCACAACCCTCTCACCTGTCACAACCCTCTCACCTGTCACAACCCTCTCACCTGTCACAACCCACTCACCTGTCACAACCCTCTCACCTGTCACAACCCTCTCACCTGTCACAACCCTCTCACCTGTCACAACCTCTCACCTGTCACAACCCACTCACCTGTCACAACTCTCACCTCACCCTCTCACCTGTCACAACCCTCTCACCTGTCACAAACCTGTCACTCTCACCTGTCACAACCCTCTCACCTGTCACAACCCACTCACCTGTCACAACCCACTCACCTGTCACAACCCACTCACCTGTCACAACCCTCTCACCTGTCACAACCCTCTCAACCCTCTCACCTGTCACAACCCACTCACCTGTCACAACCCTCTCACCTGTCACTCACCTGTCACAACCCACTCACCTGTCACAACCCTCTCACCTGTCACAACCCTCTCACCTGTCACAACCCTCTCACCTGTCACAAACTCTCACCTGTCACCTGTCACACCCACTCACAACCCTCTCACCTGTCACAACCCTCTCACCTGTCACAACCCTCTCACCTGTCACCTGTCACAACCCTCTCACCTGTCACAACCCTCTCACCTGTCACAACCCTCTCACCTGTCACAAACCCTCTCACCTGTCACAACCCACTCACCTGTCACAACCAACTCACCTGTCACAACCCTCTCACCTGTCACACTCACCTGTCACTCACACCTGTCACAACCCTCTCACCTGTCACAACCCTCTCACCTGTCACAACCCTCTCACCTGTCACAACCCTCTCACCTGTCTCACCTGTCACAACCCTCTCACCTGTCCCTCTCACCTGTCTCACCTGTCACAACCCTCTCCTCTCACCTGTCACAACTCCTGTCTCTCACCTGTCACAACCCTCTCACCTGTCACAACCCTCTCACCTGTCACAACCCTCTCACCTGTCACAACCCTCTCACCTGTCACAACCCTCTCACCTGTCACAACCCTCTCACCTGTCACAACCCACTCACCTGTCACAACCCACTCACCTGTCACAACCCACTCACCTGTCACAACCCTCTCACCTGTCACAACCCACTCACCTGTCACAACCCACTCACCTGTCACAACCCACTCACCTGT